GCAGGGGGAGCTTTTTTTTGAGAAGCAGGCTTCCCGCCGAGCAGGGAGCCCGATGCGGGGCTCAATCCCAGGTTTTTTTTATCATGACCCGAGCCAAAGGCAGACGCTGAGCCACCCAGGCGCCCGCCCCCCCAGGATAAATTTTAAAATCCATACCCAGACACAGCATGGTAGTAGAACTAGAAAAACCAATATTTTTTTTACAAGGAATTAGCCACCAACAGATTTACACTTAAAGGGAATGCTAGAGAGCATCATTCAGGTGAAGGAAGATTCTCCATAGACGCACGGAAGATGTAAGGCAGCAAGAAAGAATTTTTTTTTATGATCATTGCAACTAATGTGCACAAGAAGAAACAGAAAATCTGTCCTGCAGTGTATCCATCATGGTCCAGTCAGGAGAAAGGAACCATACCAGTTATTTGAGTGAGAATTTATTTTTTTTTGTAAGGTTTTTAGTCCAGCACATGGAACAGTCATAAGCTGTCACGAAGGTGATTTTTTTTTGGAATGGCTACAAGTAAGGGAACAAAGCAAAGAATGTGGAATGATTAATCTTATTTTTTTTGACAAAGAGCCCCACAGATCTGACCCCCGGACCTCTGAGCACGGGATGCTGTTTTTTTTTTGCTGGTATGTGTTGGGGGAACGAGGCAGTGAGTGAAGTCAGCCCCACGTCCTGCCGCTTCAGGACGAAATTCTGCGGCCCCCGTGAAGCCTCGTTGCTCACAGAAACAGGAAGCTTTTTTTTAGGAGCAAGTCTCTTGCTCTGTCCTCCCGCCTTCCAGGCTCCCTCGAGCTCCTCCTGTGGGCAGAGACTCATATGGAACCAGCAAGACAAGCAGAAATGGCGTTTGCAGAGTCCTTTTTTTTGCAGGGCAAAGCAGAATATGAAAGAGGGAAGTGGGGTCGATAGGCGGTGACTTTTTTTTTTGCACACACACAGGCTGTTGGGAGGTGTGGTTAATTTTCACACGTTTGAGGAATTTTTTTTTTGTCTTGGATTTCTAGTTTAATACCATTATGGTCAGATAATACACGAACTGATTTTTTTTTTTTGATATTTATTGAGGCTTGTTTTATGCCCCAGCCTGTAGTGTCTGGGGAAATATTCAGTGCACCGCCGCCGTGAGGGGAAAGCATTCCATAAGTGTTCCGTAGATCAAGTTGTTTTTTTTGGTTTGTCCAGATCTTCTCTGTGTTTTCTGATTTTTCTTTTTTGTCGTCTTGTTTTTTTTTTTCGTAAGGGTGGTGTGCTGAATCTTCCAGCTATGATCGTGGATTTGTCTTCTTTCTCTCTTTAATTTGGCCAATCTTTGCTTCAGATATTTTGAAGCACTATTTTTAGGTGCATTTTTTTTTGGAATTCCCTCTGGGAAGGCGTTCCCAGGTGCAGAGGGTTGCTGGAGGCGGGGAGCCCGGTGGCTGAGCTGTGCCAGGTGGCCTCGAATCCCACAGTCCTGGAGCGGGTGTGGCTTCACAGCCACGCGGGATCTGTTCTGCCTGCCGGCCGGCCCCTCACTAACAAATTCTTGAACGAATCTAGTTTCCTCTTTTTTTTAAAACTGAACCTATTCACCCTCGCCTTCAAGAGGATTTTTTTTTGGATCCAGTGTGACCCTAAGGAAAAGTGACATGTGCAGTCCCTGGCAGGGGGCGGCTTTGAGACTGGTTCCCGCCCTCACCCGCTCTCCTGGCTCCACTCAGTCAGCCTGCCACCCTCTGAGACGTCAGCAGTCCCAGCTCTCCTCTCATCCTCCCCAGAAAAGGCTTCTGCCACCCTCCACCCACAGGGCCAGGGTTTCAGAATTGCTTCTCCTGTGTCAACAGAGCCTCCCCTGATGAGGGGTGTTGTCTGGGGTAGGTAGGGCAAGGTCCCTCCTCTTGAATTCAGGCACCCGTTTTTTTTTTCTTTACTAGAGATGGACTCAATGGAAGGTCAATTCTGACAACTGCACGGTAGTTTTTTTTATGCCCCTGGCCAGGAGGCTGTCCTCCCCTTCCATGAACCAACTTGTACTGGCTTTTTTTTAAAGGGAGATGTCGAAGGGGCAATAAGTAGCTCACAGAACCAGAAAGACTTGTCCAGCTGGAACTGGGGTGGCGGGGGGGCGGCTCAGGTCTCTTTTCTTCCTGCATCATGCTATTTTTTTTCCTGTCAGTTACCCAAACTCTTGGCCTTCCTTTTCTCCATGATGCAGACTGCGTTTTTTTTATTGGGTGGACATCACCACAGCAGCTCCAAGCTGGTAACATGCCAGCTCAGGATTTTTTTTTTCTCCCCTTAGGCTTCACCATATTAAAAAGGATTCTGATACAAAAAGGGATTTCGAGTGGTCCATCTGAGGTGACAGAGCCACCCCATGGACAGGTCAGTTTGGCCAAGGGGTTTTTTTTTTGGCTGGGTCTGAATCACATGCTTATCCCTGTAGCCACAAAATGGGCATATCATTCCTGGCAGCCCTACCAGAACCACGTGGAACTGCAGGGCAGAAGTGGGGAATAGCAATGATGAGGCTCTTACCCCCAAAATGGGGTGATCCTGGGTAGACTGGAAAAACAGATGTCCCTGATTTTTTTTAAGGCACCTGGGAAGTCTGGGACTGAGCAGTGAGCGCGGCATCCGTCGCGGGGTTTTTTTTTGATGTGTTTGTCAGGAGATAGATCCTGTGCTCTGGGGAAGGCTGAGGAGGCGTTTTTTTTCAGCGTAGAAAATATTCTGGGTAGTAGAGTCTAACATTCAGAGGCTTGGCTCTGAGCTCAGACAGATGCTGGCTTGAAATCTGGCTATCCCACCAGCTGTGGGACCTCAGGCAGTTTTTTTTCAGAGCCTTTTTCTCTCCTCTGAAATGGATAATTTTGATGAGTCTGTAGCATTTTTTTTTTTTACAATTCAGTAATTGCTTCTTATTTTTCCTGTAATTAATTGGGTTGCTCCATTTTTTTTGTCCATTCACGTGGGCCTGAGGATCTTTCTTCGTGTTCCATGTTGATTTCATTTTTTTTTTTCTTCTCTTCCAACTTCTCGGTCCCCTAACCTTGGCCCAAGAACTGACTGGTGTGCCCAGGGGATAACCAACCCTCCGCGGTGTGCCCATTTGGGGAGAGGCCGGTGGGTTCCCCGGCAGGACAGTTCCCGGAGGGTTACAGAAGGCACTGCAGCGAGCAAGCAGCCTGGGAACCTCGAGAAGCAGTAAGAATGTTAATCTGGCCCTGTAAGGCCGTATTCCCGCGGTGGGCTTCATTTTTTTTGCAGCTAAGAAACTGTGAAATGAGTTTTGAGACCCAATCTCCTCCCTCTTTTCTTTTTTTTAGGAAGAATGGAGCCAAAGAGAAATTGTGAGTGTTGCCATGGCTCAAGCCCTGTTTTTTTTACGGAAGCAGAGGGAAGAGTTCCAGCAACAGGTAGGCCCCGCTTGACCCAGAGGTATGGGCCCGGGGCGGGGCTGGGCGGGGGCGAGTTCCAGCCTCAGGTAGGACCAGCCTACCTCCCCTTGTGTCCAGGACAGGGGCTGGACCTAGGTCTCAGGAATGCCAGCAACTGAGTGATTTTTTTTAGGTCTTTGGAAGGTGGGAGAAAAGTGTTATAAAATCCTCACCCCACAGGATATTTTTTTTTTGATTTTTGATGGTCAGTTATTGTTCTAAAGCTCACCTGGGGAAAAGCTCATTTTTTTTTACCTACCGGGCTCTAATTCTGTGAGGGGGCTATCACTGGCCACAGGCCCCCAAGACCGTAATACAGCTGAGCTGTCAGTGGGAAGGATGGGAAGTGCCTTCCTTTTCAGACAGGCTCGGCGTCAGGCCCCAGACCTGGTAGTTCCTGGGCCCCAGGCCTTCAGTAAGTCCTTAACTTTTTTTTGTCTCAGTTGCCTCTGAAAAGACTTGAGGATAATTACACCTTTCAGGAAGTGTTTTTTTTTTGTGTGACAAGGTCACGTGTATCAAACGCCAGGCATGTGATGGGCACTCAGGATTTTTTTTGCCGGGCTGAGCAGCCGCATGTCCGGGAGGCCCAGCATAGGCCGGGTGGGCAGTGAGGGGTGGCTCCTGTGCAGGGCTCCGGCCCCGTGCGTGCCCCGACGAGCAGAGCTTAGCTTTTTTTTGTTCTAGGCTGTGGGCTGCAGGGAGGGATTCATGGGGGGACCCTGGGTAGTGGTTTTTTTTAGATTCCTTTTGGGGCAAAGGCGGTTACTGCTGCCAGCCTCATCCTGTTGGTCTTTCTGTTCAAGGCTGCTAACCTCACAGCTGTCATAGATGAGAAGGAGCAGACTCTGCAGGTTTTTTTTGAAGTGATTCTCCAGAAAGAGCAGGAGATTTTCCAGCTGAAGAAAGGTGAGGATTTTTTTTCTGTCGAGCCTTCTGACCGGCTCCCCACCAGGTACCCCTGCCCGGAAGCGGCGCAGAGTCACCGGGCTGACGGTTGCCCCCCTCTGCCTGGCCTAGGTCATGACTCTGCCCTGTCACAGATGCATCAGCTGCAGAGTGAGCTGGAAGCCCTGCGGAGCCTGAGGGCAGAGGAGTCCGAGGCTGCTGCGAGGGACGATGTGCTGAGACTGCCCAGCCCCGAGCAGGGGTTGACGCTCTTTTTTTTCGAGCCTCACGTAAGTGCCCACCGGAGCGGCGGGCCGGGCATGGTGGCAGCGTGGCGTGGTGCGGCAGGACGCACGGCTGACCGCTGCAGTTGGCCTCGAGGCGGGGGGAAGGGGCTGGCAGGATTACAGGAAGACACAGCTGGTGCTCGCTAGCTCCGGGATGTTGGGCAGGTCACTTCTCTGTGCTCTAGCTTCCTCTCTTTAAAGTGGGGGTGCTTAACTGACCAAGAGCTTGTTTTTTTTGAGGAGCCCATCGGATGTGGCATCACGTGTCAGGGTTCAGGTGTTAAGAGCCCTTTCCTTCGAAGCACGCTCGCCGCGGGGAAACCTGATTGTCCCTCTGGAAGGCATTGGACGGGATCTCCACAGTTCAGCTGTGGTTCCTGGCCAGCTGCCTGTTCGAGCTCATCAGTCCGCACCTTTGGAACCGATCTGGTCCCCTTTCCCAGGGACCTGCGGCGTAGCTTGACCGTTACCTTGGCCTGGCTGTCAACTTGCTGCCACCACCCTGTAGGTAACCTCAAGGGCCGCGCAGGACCCCATGGACCAGCTTCCAGCGGCGGAGAGAATCCCAAACGGTGAGGTGGGGGTCATGGACCTATTTTTTTTACAGAAGGAGAAACAGGACTTGGAGCAGCAACTTCTGGAGAAAAATAAGGTGATTTTTTTTCTTGCCTCAACTGTTTTATCTGCCTGCACTTTCCCTGTATTTGTGCCTGAAGCTTTTTTTTCCCTTCCTGGAGTTATGCCGGGGCCCCTGGGCACATCTCGGGGGGTCTTACCTCTCTGGCTGAAGGCCTTCTTCCCGCCTTTCCACCTGTCTGCGTGCCTTTCCCACCTCCCCCCAGCTGAGGTCATGTTCAGAGTGTTAGAGCTCGAGCAGTTGTGAGTTCAGACGTTCACAGCCACCTCTGCCGTCACCAGTGGGTGCTACTGGGCCAGTCACCTTACCTCTCACTTCCTTTCCTTTTTTTTGAAATGCCCCAGCGATGCCTGTCTTCAAGTGGTTTTACTGGGGGGCAGGGGCGTTTTTTTTTGAAACGAGAGCGTTTGCTAGCTGTCCTGTAACACTTCCGGTATTTGGCAGAGTTTTTTTTAATGTCATGATTGCACCCGCCCCACCAGCCTCTGCACCTTCAGGTGCGGAGTCTCGTTCCATCCTGGTGTCCAAGGGCCCTGGGAAGTCAAGTGTGCTGGCTGCTCATTGCTTTTTTTTTTTAGTGTGATTGCGGGTGTGTATTTTTTTAGGCCTTTAACAAAAGGAAAAAGTGCTTTTTTTTTCTCTTGCGCGCGCACGCACACACTTAATCTTAGTGTGAAATATAAAATACACTTTTTTTTACAAACACTGTGTGCCCCAGGGCCCAGCCCTCAGACCCCCTCTCTCATGGCACTCAGTCGCTTGCCGCACGCTGCTCGCAAGCCCAGACGCTCCCGGGAGCACTGGATCATCTCTGTACCTCCGCGGCAGTGTCTAAAACACATCTGAAGCTTAAACCACCCAAACTTCAAAAACTTTTTTTTCTGCCCGGCAAATCTTGGTGTCATTCTCAACCCTTGTGTCTCTCCCACGAGCATTTTTTTTACCTTTAGCTAGTCTTTTTGGCTCTCCTTTCGGGCTACACCCAAACTGAGCTGCTCCCCATCCCCACCGCCGCCACCACCCAAGGTCAGGTTACCATCATCTCTCCCTACAGGCTGGTGTTCGGCTTCTGACTGGTTTCCCCATCACCCCAGGGTTCCACTCCTCTGATGACTTCCTCTCTCTATAAAAGCCAAGTCCTTGCAGGGGCCCACAAAGCCCTGTGGTTTGACTCCTTAGTACCCTTTTTACTGCACCCCTTCTGCCAACCCCAGCACTTCCTCTCAGCCACACTGGCCTTTTTTTTTTGTGAATATTAAGCACCCTCCTGCCTCAGGGTGGTTTGCACTTGCTGAGCCTTTTTTTTTTAAGATTCTTCCTGCAATTCCCTCACTTCCTTTATGGTGTCATTTTGTCAAGGAGGCCTCCCTGCTACCCTTGGCAGCCCTCAGCACCAGAACCTCCTGTCCCCTTACCTTGCTCTTTTTTTTCACACCTCTTAATACCTTCTGATGTACTAATATCTGGTTATCGGCACTTTTCCCTCCTGAGAGCAGACATTTTTCTTGTTTTGCTTATTGTTTTCCCCCAGTCTCCAGTTCAGTTTTTTTTTCATAGTAGGAACTCAATCGGTATTTGTTAGATGAATTAATCCATGAGCCAAAATTTTTTTTGGTCAGGTAACATAAAATAGCAAATGTACTTTCAAATGAATGTCCAGCCTCGTGCTCAGCCAAAAGAATAACAGACTGAAACAACACATTATCATTTATAAAATAGGGTGTATTTTTTTTTTTTTAATGTGCTTGATAGGAGCCGAGCCTCTGACAGAGCCATCTCATTCTGTGGAGAGACTGTGGACATACCTCTGGAGAAAGCAAAGCTAACCAACGCTTTAAAAATGGAGGCTTTTTTTTTCTGTAAGACCTGGGGCATCCCCTAGAGTTACTGTCACATTAAAGGTTAAAATTAAGGGGGCACCTGGCAGGCTTAGTTGGTGGAGCATGTGACTCTTGATCTCAGGGTCATGAGTTCAAGCCCCACACTGGGCGTAGAGCTTACTTAAAAAAAAAAAAAAGGAAATCTGTGGAAATTTTTTTTAACTCTGATAAATGAAAAACACTATTCAGAATTCTAGCTAGTGGAGCACCTGGGTGGCTCAGTCAGTTAAGCGTCTGCCTTTGGTTCAGGTCATGATCCCAGGGTCCTGTATAGGGCTCCCTGCTCAGCAGGGAGTCTGCTTCTCCCTCTGCCCCTCCTCCCCACTCCTTGGCTCTTTTTTTTCACCCCCCAAAATAAATAAATAAAATCTTTTCAAAAAAACAAAAACAAAATTCTTTTTTTTGAATCCAAGATTGGTGACATAGACAGAAGTCCACAGGAAAAACTAATTTTGGTTTTTTTTTTGTGAGACTTGGGAGAAACGTTTAACATTTTTTTCCTGTATTGCTGATTATACTTTTTTTTTTTCATCAGGAAAACAGAGGTTAGCCTTTCTAGTGATTACTGGAGTAACAAATTTTTTTTTAGACTAATTAAATTCATTAAAAATAAAGAAAATTTAAAGACTAGATAAGGACAGAAAAATCATGATTTCTTACACTGTTAAAAATAAGCATTGAAAATGATGATACTTCAGGAGTTTTTTTTTGTGGGATCATGGCACATAAATATAATTCTGAAGGACAAAGCGTACTGTCCAGAGGGGTTTCCAGCTGCGCTCCTTCCAGAGCAAGCCCCAGAAGCCGTCCTGAGGGCCGAGCCCCTGTGGATAGGCTGGGGCAGCCCTGGACCTGAGCGCTCCACAGAGGGGGTGTGACAGTGGCCTTTGCAGCAGCCTTGCAGAGCTCGTGCATGCAGAGCATCCAGAAAGGGGGTTAGAGTCCCGGGCACGCAAGTGTGACAACACAAGGCTCTGGGGAGACAGGGCAGGATCTTAGAACAGATTTTTTTTTTCCCAAGGCAGTGGCTGGCTGTTCTGTTGTCCTTTGCACCTTAACAATGGTGATTTTTTTTTGTGATGAATGGCTTTTTGTGGGGGCGGGGCTTTGTCTCAGACCATAAAGCAGTTTTTTTTGAGGATGCTGGAACTCAAAAAGACTCTCCAGAAGGAACTGGTAAGTGCCCCTCTTTTTTTTCATGCCTGATGATGCGCCCCCCCCTCACCCGCCCGTTGATTGCAGGTTTCTGGTTTTTTTTATGTTGGCTGGTGGGACAATGGCCCTGCCCGTTTGAACATGCCTCTGCAAAGTTTTTTTTTGACTTCGGGAGTGTGCCATCCTTCCTCGAGCCCTGAGCTCTGAGAAGTCAGTGACATGACCTGTGCGCTGTGTGCCGTGCCCAGACCTAGGAGAGCAGCGCCTCTGCCCTTTTTTTTTTTTTCCCTGCCCCAGAGGTGTCCTGACCGGGGTAAAGGAAATGTCTGACCTTCCCCACATGACCTCCTTCTTCACCAGCGGCCACCCCACCTGGGGGAGCCAAGCCTTCTTCAGACACTGGAAGACACTCCCTTTCCACGGGGGGCCCTCTCGGCTAGCACGCTGGGCCTGCTAAAGGATTTTTTTTTGGTTTTCACACCTGTCTCGGGGGTTCAGCGTAGCATCTTTCCATGGGGTTTTTTTTTTTTCAGACCCGACAATGAGCTGTTTGAAGTCCGGGACAAGCCTGGCCCTGAGATGCTTTTTTTTGCCCCTTCTGTCACGAATAACGCTGACCTGACTGATGCCCGAGAGATCAACTTTGAATACCTGAAACACGTGGTTTTGAAATTCATGTCCTGCCGAGAATCTGAGGTAAAGGGCTTTTTTTTTGCCTTTTGGGTTCCGAGTGCCTGGCTCATTTGTCCAAGCCTCGCATGGCTTCTTTTTTTTCCATTTCTTTCTTCCTCTGCCACGTTCTGATTTGCCTGCCAGTGTGGGTACGTTTTTTTTTCCCCAGCTGGCCCTGACCTGCAGACTGCAGCAAGCAGGGGGGCCGAGAAGGGGGCGGAGGCTGAGTCCAGGGAGCTGAATCTGCCCCACGCTCCTGCATCTGCTGAAGAGCAGGTTTTTTTTTGCGTGGATGTCCCGGGGGTCTTGCCGGTCCCCGAAGGAAAAGATGGAGGGGAGAAAAAGAACCGGTCATCGTCGTCAGACTTGAGAAAGCCCAACTTCGCCCTCCCCGTGGTCTTTGCTCACCCTTCGGGAGCAGAGCCTGGGAAGTGCTGCCGCTTAGACCCCCCACCCCCGCTTTTTTTTCACCAAGGCCCGTGGCAGCACTACTTCCTTTGTTTCAGGCTTTTCACCTTATATTTTTTTTGTCAGTGTTGCTGAACTTCTCAGAAGAGGAAGAGAACATGCTCAAAGAAACCCTTTTTTTTAAGGTAGGTCGCCGGCTGCCGTGGCTCTTAGAAACTGGAGTTACCAGCCCTGCGCTTGGCTGACTGTCCCCAGGACGCGCTTGCTTCCCGCACACATGGCTGTGCGTGCTCCACTTTTTTTTTCCGTGCTTTCCCGGGCTCTTTGACCAATGTCTCTCACGTCAGCAGCCCCGGGTTTTTTTTAGCGTCCAGACTTTTTTTTTTTTTTAAAGATTTTTATTTATTTATTGAGAGAGTTTTTTTTAGAACGCGAGAGGGAGGAGGGTCAGAGGGAGAAGCAGACTCCCAGCTGAGCAGGGAGCCCGATGCGGGACTCGATCCTGGGACTCCAGGATCATGACCCGAGCCGAAGGCAGTCACTTAATCAACTGAGCCACCCAGGCGCCCCTGGCATCCAGACTTTTTAAAAAATAAAATATTCAGGGGCTCCTGGGTGGCTCAGTTGGTTGGGCAACTGCCTTCGGCTCGGGTCATGGTCCTGGAGTCCCAGGATCGAGTCCCGCATCAGGCTCCCTGCTCAGCGGGGAGTCTGCTTCTCCCTTTTTTTTTCCTCCCTCTCATGCTCTCTGTCTCTCGTTCTCTCTCTCGCAAATAAATAAAATTTTTTTTTAAAAAATTATAAAATATTCAGAAAGTACCTGCTGAAGGGATAGAACAAAAAGATTTTTTTTAGGCAGAATTACTTACAGTCCCAGCCCCTGGTTCTGGTCAACTCCATTTTCTCTTTTTTTTCTCACGCACTTAGAACGGGCTCTGGGCCCCGCAGCCTGGTCTCCAACAACCAGCATCTTCACGGCAAGCTCACGGCAGGCGCCATGGGGCGTGGAGGGCTGCAGGGGCAGCTTGGGGATGCCGGGGACGGGGGGGTGCCTTCAGCTTCCTCGGCACCTCATCCTGATGCTCGTCTTTTTTTTTCTCTCTGTTTCCAACCCAGATGTCATGGTTTGGGTCCAAGCCAGCCCCCAAGGGCAGCATCCGGCCATCCATCTCCAACCCTCGGATACCGTGGTCCTAGATGGAAGTGCCAACTTTTTTTTCTCCACGCAATGACACTTTTTCTGTGAAAAGAACACTGACACACCAGTCTGGGTTTTTTTTTAATCACTGTAACTGCAGTATTTTGTACAAGCGTCAAAACATTGTTTACAAGATTTTTTTTCCCCTTCCCGACAGACTGATCTGAACCTCAGGAGGTGGCTGTCCCTGCATCATTTTTTTTTCCAGACGGGAGGGTCCTGGCACTGCCCACATTTCCACCGTGCTGCTAAAATCCTTTTTTTTGCCGGCACCCGTCCGCACCTGAATCCTCTAAGTGTCCACACTAGCGCTTGAAGCTGAAGCCCTCAGCCTCCAGCAGGGTGGAGGCACCGGGTCCACCCCGTAGTGACCATGCTGGACGGAAAGACAGCCCTTCGATGTGGTGCCCAGCAGGCCAGAGCCTCGTGCCCCTGCCACACAGCCAGCTCACTGGGGTGGGCATTCAAAATTCTCATTCCCAGTTAGCTTGTTTGGGTTCATTTTTTTTAGAAGAGGCTTTTTACCCTTTCCTCTCAAAAAAACATTCTTTCACCTTGTTTCTCAAACCACCCAGAGTTTTAGATGTGCCCATCTTTATGGTACTCTGGGGCCAGTGTGGATTCATGAATATGCAACTTTTAGACAGTATCTCACTTTACTGAAGAAAACTAGCAGATATATGATTTTTTTTCCTTAGTACCAAATACACTCAATTGCCTTTTTAATGAATGTACTTGTCTTGGATAGGTTGCTGGTAAACCATTTTAAACTATTTTTTATAGCTAAAGTTCTTCGCTACTATAAATTTTTTTTTGTATTATAAAATCCATTTAACTGGTGTTCTTAAAGGCAAATCAGAGCATCAAGAGGAGATTATTTCTAAGATTGGGATGCCTTTCCCTTTTTTAATTTCACTAGCTTTCTATGGTCTCTGCTTCCTTCTGAAGCAGTGGTGGTATTTCATTTGCTTTGCTCTTAATTCTGTGTTTTTTTTTTGAGCAAATGCTAATCACACGTTTGCTCCGGTTAAGGACAGTCTGCTCCGTTAATTTTTTTTAGCAGTGGTCCCTTCCCCATCCCTGACCAAAACGTCGGAAGCCGTCTGCCATGTTTTTTTTGCCACCACCTCTCCCCCCCACCCCCACCCCATGTTTCTCAAAAATGCATGGGATTTTTTTTTGTAAAACATATATCACGGGAAAACACGGATTTGCAGAGTTAATGTACTACATTTTTTTTTACCTGGGAGTACCAAGCAAGGGCAGCATCACCATGACCCCAGCTAGGCTCTCTTTTTTTTTAGCGACCCATTCTCTAGTTGCCTACCTCCTCCCGTGGCTCCTCCCTACAGATGTTTTTTTTTTGTTTAGAATTTTATTTTCCATTTATCTGGTGGGGACACAATACAGCAATTCTTTTTTTTCTGTAATTGCGGTAAGAGGGAGCTTTTCCAGCTGTTCCAGGAGAGTCCCCACATTTTTTTTCTCAGGGCTTGCCAACCAGTCCGACTCCGCTGAGGCCTCTCCAGCCCTTGAGCTGGTCTCACCCTGCCCTGCCCACAGCCCCCAGCAGCTTTCACTCAGCCTGGACCTGCTTAGGGTTCATTCTGAGTAGGCTTTCCTCCTGCATGTCGAATTTCCTTCAGCTTTAAGAGGAAGATTTTTTTTAATATTCTAAGTGATTTAATGCACTTTTACTTGTATAAAACGTTCTGTGATAGTTTTTTTTTATAGCCCTTTATATGAGCATTGGATTTGGATCTCTCTCCATGTTGTAAATAGTTTTTTTTTTATCTAAGACTGCTGTAGAAAATTCATTTGTGGTGTCACTTTTTGATTAAAGTTTTTTTTTCCAGATGCAACTACAGTGGGTTTTACTTGATAGTCTGGTGTCTCAGTATCTATTTTTTTTTGGTACTTTGTGTCTTGTATTTAATACTCCGAGGCAAACTTCACGGACTACAGAACAGACCTTCCAGTTTGGTGAGCAGAGATGTGGGGAGGGCGGCTCCAGGGCTGGAGAGCGGAGGCATGCTCGGAGAGCATGGAAGCTCCGTGTCCTTTCCCCTTACATTCCCCGGTGCATCTTTTTTTTCTGGCTGTTCCTGAGTATATACTTTTATGATAAACCAGTAACCTAGTAAGTACTTTTTTTTGGCGAGGGGAGATGGCTATAGAACATTTGTCTTTCAGAAAGCACCCCCCCCAATTTTTTTTAATACGTGTAATTTAATGAAGCCAGCAGTCTAGTCCTACCTCCCAGGAATGGCTTTTTTTTGCAGAGGAATTGGAAGGATTGTGTCACTTTGGTCAATGTCTTCTGTCCAAGACTTTTTTTTATCAATGGGGTCCTTTAACAATGCAGACTGCAGTTCCATGTGCTTATAAAAGGTTTTTTTTACATCTTGCTCTTCAAAGAAGCTGGCTGTTAGTGGTTATAGGGAACAAAACGTTTTTTTTTTATCTATAGGCTGATAGTACCTGCTCCTTTAAAAAAAACTTGTCAGCATCTCAGGGCGTTCCTGCCGCACAGCCCCAGCCAGTATCAGGAGACGGTGACCGGGCCCTTCTGGGACGTGCTCCCAAAAGATTCCAAGTGTAGTCACACAAACTAAAGACTTTTTTTTAAGATTTTTTTATTTATTTGAGAGAATGAGAGAGAGCATGAGAGGGGGGAGGGTCAGAGGGAGAAGCAGACTCCCTGCGGAGCAGGGAGCCCAATGCGGGACTCCATCCCGAGACTCTGGGATCATGACCTGAGCCGAAGGCAGTCGCTTAACCAACTGAGCCACCCAGGCGCCCCAAACTAAAGACTTTTATTTTTTTTATCAATTACTGTTTGCACTTTATTAAGTAAGCTCCAAAATTACATACAAATCATTTTTTTTAAACCAATAAATAGTTATTCAGTCAACTCTATAGCAGCCAGCAGCACCGAGCCTTTTTTTTAGGTACTGCGGTGGGAGAGGGCCAGACACCACGCTCACTTCCTGGGACCGGGTCCGCAGGGACACGCCCACCCCATCAGTTTCCCATTCGTTACCGTCCCATTCCTTACTCACTTTTTTTTTATGAAACACACAGCAAAGTACATACTAATAAGCCAAGAGCTTTATTGATGCAGTTTTTTTTTTACAATGAATCCAAGAGAGCCCGTCTTCTCACGGAAGACGGAATGTCTGTACTTTTTTTTGAAGTTTTACTACTTCAAAAAAACAAGCTCTCCCTTTGACCACAGCCCTTGGATTTTTTTTTGCCCAGATCGTCCCTCCCCCACGTGAAATAGAGCACACAGCTACACCCGGCCTTTTTTTTCCAGCCACTCCGGCAGACAGTTACGAGGTCAGTTCTGTGTTACTCGTGGACAAAGGCATAGACTATCAGATCCTGCAAAGGATTTAGGAAACAGACAAGTTCTCCCTCCACCTTGAAAATAAAATACACTTCAGCAGATGCATGTCCTGGAATAGTTTAGTTGGGAGTTCCCAGGTTTTTTTTCCATTGTCAATCCCTCTTCATCAGCCTGTGCATCCAAAATTCTTCTCAAAGTATTTTTTTTCCTTTTTTTTTAAACAGTCTTTCTTGCTGTAAGAACTCTTATAATGGAGCCTAGTCCTCCTACTGCTAATGCCTGTGGGGGCAGGAAAAGGAAAGGAGTCAAATGAGACCCGGCTGGCCCAGGGGGAGCCCGGCTGGCCGGGGGACGTGGGACCCATCACAGCTGCCTCCCCGAGTCCTCCTTAGAAATGCCAATGGGGCTCAGCACCAAGTCGCCTTAAAGAGACCAAAGAAAGGGCCTGGCCGCCACACCAGGCAGAGGGCTTGCTCGGTTCCTGAGCAGCACGGCCACCAACCCCCGCCCCCCGCCCCCCATTCACCTTCTGGCCGAACAGGCACAGCATGGCCAGCAACAGGACCAAAGGCCGCCACAGCCCAGCACCGAGGCTGCCCAAGTGGCTGACCCCTCCCAACTCAACATTTTTTTTTGGGAAGGGCATGGTGTGGGTAGCGGCCTGGTCTCCGATAATGGTAAGCAAGCTTCCTGTAACTCTATGGGGCAGGGGGACAGTGGCTAGATGAAATGCCTTGCTCTTGTAACGTTTTTTTTAGGGGACAGGCACAGCTCTTTGCGCTTCAGGTGGCTGCAGGCCCTCTTCAGTGAACATCCAGGTTTCTGCCACTGCCCCCCAGCCCCCACCAGCCTCGTGAGGCTGAGGCCAGATTTTTTTTCCCTGAGAGTTAGCTGGAGGGCTCAGCCTGCATTCCTGAGACCAGCCCCCTCATTTTTTTTACCTTCACCAATGCAAAGCAGCTACGTCCACTGATGCAAATCAAGTATTATGATTTTTTTTCCACAAGCAAGCCTGCCTCTCTCCCACCTGGGACTCCCTGTCTCTCTCACCATGCCAGGTCACCTGATCCCATGACACGCCTGGCATAAACCAGCAGCTAAAGCAATTGCAACTTTTTTTTTCAGTGAACCCCTAGCAGGTGCTTCCATGGGAGAAGTGACCAGATGTCCTAGGTGGTTTTAGGTGTAGCCCCTTACTTTCGAATGCCTATCAGACTGTCCCGTGTTTGTCTCGGATTTTTTTTCCCACTGCTGTGAACCCTGGGGTGGGGGCCAGTCGGTGGGCCGCCTGCATGGGTTTTTTTTTCACGTACCTTTTCATGCCACTGGAGTAACACTGCACTGCTGTTTTCTGTGGGTTTTTTTTACCCCTTATAAATGTACTTCATTAGCAAGTCAATGCCATTTCTGTCCAGCGACTTTTTTTTCTGCTCAATTTCACTGCTCTTAAAGTTTGTGAGCACTTTCAGCACCACGCCCTGGGCTCGTTCCTGTAGAGGAGAGAGAAAGGGAGTGACGCCCAGAGCCGAAGCCCAGGCACATTTTTTTTCTCCAGGACAGGCACAGAAATGCCAAACTGAGTGGTCAGAACTCTTAGAAACACTGCCCAGTTTCTCATTTGTCTGGGACAGTTACAAAGTAAGTGGCCAATAAGTTATTCCCTTTTTTTTTCCTGGGAGGCTCAGTCAGGTTAAGCTTCTGCCTTTGGCTCAGGTCATGATCCCGGGGTCCTGGGATTGAGCCCTGCATCGGGCTCTCCCTGCTCTCCGGGGAGCCTGCTTCTCCCTCTGCCTCTGCCTGCCACTCCCCCTGCTTGTGCTCTCTGTCAAATAAAATACTTAAAAAGTTTTTTTTAAGTTATTCACTTCTTTGGGGAAGAGTAAATGGTTTACCGGAGAGAAGCATCACTGCTTTTGAGGACACCTGCAAGGCTCAGACTCCCCAAGATCACAACTGTGGAGATCTATTTTCTTAACACATTTAAGAAAAGCTGCAGCTTCCCTCTGCATTCACCCCAGTAACAGAGGGGTTTTTTTTCTCCACCTGAGAGGTGCAGCCATTGCTCACATCAACATGCTGTCACAAGCCGGCAAAAACCCCAGCTTCGGAGAGACCCCTTTCCCTGGAGCAAATTTCAGACAGCTTCTAAACTTTTTTTTTGCAATAAAGCATGACTGTATCTTCTCACCTTGTTTTTATTATTTTTTTTTTTTTTTTTTTATTTATTCATTTGACACAGAGGGAGAGACAGTGAGAGAGGGAACACAAGCAGGGGGAGCGGGAGAGGGAGAAGCAGGCTCCTGGCTGAGCAGGGAGCCCGACCCCGATGCTTAACGACTGAGCCACCCAGGCATCCCTCACCTTGTTTTTAAAAGACAGGAAATCTTAAAAGCACTTTTTTTTCTTATGCAAATAAAGCCTATTCAATAACCTTTAAAGCAGAACACTGCTCTAAGTTTTTTTTGGCAAGCTAATTTATAGTTTTGCTAAGCAGCAAGGGCTGGGCCGACTTCTCACTTTTTTTTGCCCTGGGCCCTGGGGAAGCGTGAATGTTTCTTTGGGGAGCTTTTACTATAAACACTGACAGCTCTGATGGTAGGAGTGCCAGAAGGCTGCCATGGAAGCACTGCCCAGCGTCAACTCACTCCCTCAGCAGAGCCTCGCTGAGGCTGTCTGGAGCCCCGGGGAGCGCTCGCTTGCCCCAGCTCAGCCCGGAGCCCAGCACCACCCAGCAAAGCCGCAGCACCACCCTCTTTACCTTTTTTTTTTGATTCTTGGTGTTGATGGGAGAGTTCCGCAAGGCTGCGTGGAATGCCCGAAGCTTTTTTTTTGTGCATCACCACCAGTTAAGGATGGTTAGGCTCAAGCATGTCCATGCTTTTATTTTTTTTCTCCTTTCAAAAACAGCTCGAGAGAGAAGAGTCAAATGACATCCACATGCCCCTTTTTTTTCCACCGCACCCCACTGCTGATTCCAGGTGTGGCCCCGGCCCATTCAGAGAGCAGCCTGGAGCTCTCCTGAGCCACACCAAGAGCGCCCCTCCTTCTGCCGCCCCCGAAACATGTTTTTTTTTTCCCTCCCTCCCAACCTGGAAGGCAGGAGCAAAGCTAGTGCCCTCTCGGGGTGACCTGCAATAGAAACTGACTGAGCTCACTTGCACCTGCTTGGTACTGGGCACCGTGTCTGCTTTTTTTTGTCCTCACAACAACAGCGATGCGAGGCTAGCCCTGTCACCTTCTCATTCTCAAAAGGGAAGGACGAAGGCACAAATGGAGGTCTCCTAACTCTTAATCGAATGTTTTATCGATTTTTTTTTTAAAGAAATTAAGATGTGCTTAAACTGCTATCTTGCAAGACCCACCCAGGTCTTTGACGTCCCAACTGCTACTAGAAGGGAGATTTATTAATCTAAAAGCTTTTCCCCAAAAGACGAGCCGATCCTCCCCACTCCCCTCAACCTTAGTTGCAATCCTGACACATTCTTTGCTGAGGTTTTTTTTCACAGCACTCAAAAGAAAATGACAATCTGGGTTAGGTCCCCAAAGGTGACACCTTTTTTTTACTGAATTACATCAGCCAACTTTCATTTCCTCATCTGAAACACTGGCTTCAGCTTTTTTTTTTCAAAAATAGAACAAGGAATGGCTGCTGCCCAATCAGGTCTCTACTGTTTGTTTTTTTTTACCTATGTGTGAACAGAGCCCAGAGCAAAGCCCAGTCCCATCTTCCCTAGTGTGGGCTCCATCCTGACCGTGCTGGGCCCGCACCACCCAGGGGCCACTCCTGCTGAGCCCTGATCCACCTTCCACAATGGAGAGGCAGCCCACCCCCTGTATCTGCTGGCTTTGGAATTCCTTTTTTTTTTTCAGGCAAGGGCCAGTCTGATACCAGCCACTGATAACGTCTCCCTTGGAACTGTTTTCCGATCTGGTGTCCCAGAGCAATACGCAGAGTCTCAGCAGCTTAGAAGGAAATGCAGGCCGGCTCTCTTCACTAACCAGCACGGCTGACAAACAGAATCATTCAAGGGATGGACGGGGATTTTTTTTGAAACTAGTCCACGGGGGCAAAGAGAGTCACTGCTTTAGTTACCTCCGTAGTGCCAACCTACCAAGCATTCGCTATAGGTGTTGACAGATACAGGGCCTTTAGCAGCTTGGGGACATCTGGGGAGCAGGGAGTGCACAGCATTTATCAAGCTGGCCTCCGTGCTCAGCTTACAACAGGCTGTGGAGCCTGGGGACCGCTGCCCCTCGTCTCCAGATCAAGGTTTCCCAACCACAGCTTTTTTTTCATTTTAGACCCCACGACTGATGTGAGGTCTGTCCTGTGCACTGCACAATATTTTTTTTTTTGCCCGGCCTCTACCCACTAGATCCCAGCAGCGTTCCACAAGTGTGACAATCATTTTTTTTCCAAACAATGCCAAATTTCTTCAGGGGGAGGAGAGAGTGCAAAATTGTTCAAAACCACTGCTTTGGACCAATCCCTGTTCCTGAGGACCAGAAGGTTCTTCAGTGAGGAAGAAACAAAACGATTATTTTAAACTCCCTACAAGCTCTCAGCTCCTGTGCCAGGTGCTTTCACATGTTTTTTTTATACTGCTAACAACGCTCTGTGACAAGAATCATTATTCTCATTTGAAAGGCAATGAATTTGAGGCTCAGAGAAGGAAAATGACCTGCCCAAGGTTAAAAAACTAAGCTGTCCAGTTTTTTTTCAAACCCAAGTATGCCCAACTCCAAAGCCAAGCTCTTTCTATAATCCCCTACTTTTTTTTTACCCAAAGACCCACACTACATGTCCAGGACACTTGCTGCGTGCCCAGCACCATGAAGCCTCACAATGTTGTTGTGATGCTCCCACGGAACCTGTAAGGCCAGCGGGGTTCCCCTTTTTTTTTCAGAAGATGCTGCTGAGGTTCAGAGAGGGTATGAGGTCACACAACTATAGCATTTTTTTTTTCTGCATGGATACACAGCCCATGTTCTAGCTCATCTGAGTTATTTCCTACCAATTTTTTTTTCCCTATAAGGCAGTAGGACAGGTCTCCTCCTCCCTACATTCCCCCACTCCAATTTTTTTTTCTCTATCCCTAATCCTCTGGCCTCTGTTGGGACTCCCAGAAGCCTGTTCTATTTTTTTTTTTCAGTGATCTAATAGAAGTCCAATACCTGGCACATAATAGGGACTAGTAAATACCAGTTCCTTCCTCCTCCCTCCCTGGGTTCCACATTAGCCAGGATTTCAGTTCTCTTTGCTAACCTCCCTTTCTCCAATCCCAAGAGGTAGACAATCTATGGTAACAAGGTTGCTGACACTTTTTTTTTTGGAGAAATTGCCACCAATTGGATGTGCTAAACCTTGGCCTCTGAGCAGCCTCTTTTTTTTTATCATTAGTCAGGGGGCGTACCAAGAGATGACCTTCAAAAAGTCCCTGTAGCACCAGGACCAAGATAGCAGATAACCAGACTTTGTTCTCCCCATCTGTGGATGGTCCTGGGCCACAGGCCCGACCCCGGAGCCTTTTTGGTACTGCCTGCCCATAAGCCAGGTCCTGCAACAGACTACAGAATCAATCTTCCCTCATGAGGGTCCTTCTCATGACCCCATTTCATCAATGGGGTTTTTTTTTTGATCCTGATGGGGCAGGAAATACAAGTTTGAATCCCCATCTTTGAAAGCACATTCCTGTTCAAACAAAGTCTGGTTTTTGGTTCAAAGGCACACGGGAGGAACACCGCGGGACTTTTTTTTAAGGTAGTCCATAGGCCTGACTTCCCAAGCTGAGTCAACTGATTAAACACCCATTTTTTTTTTTATATACAGCACGAGCCTCCAACCCTGCCCTGGCAAGTGCGGGGGAGGGGCTTTTTTTTCCTGTAACACCATTTGAATAAAGAAAAATCCTTCCTGTGAGAATAAGTCAGTTTCCTGTGCTCAAACTGCTAAGGGACCAAGCAGGCTGCGACAACCACCTCTATTTTTAATCTTGTTTTCTAAATGCTTGCTTTATGTGGCCACAAGAATAGTCATTTCCAGTCATGAGGCTCTTTTTTTTTATTTCACTTGATGCTGTCTGGTTTTTCTTAGCTCTCAACTACTAGTCTTTCCCTTTTTTTTGCACAAGAAGGCTATTTCGGGGAGGGAGCCAAAACTCGCTTGTTGAACGTGGCTTTTTTTTTCAAGGTCCACAGCCCAGGGTGTTCACAGGAAGCTGAGAACAGGTGAAAAGAGTTTTTTTTAGCTGGAGGGTCAGACTGATTCTGGGGTGGGAGGTGCACAATCTCTGACCTCAGGGCTGGACTAAGGCTCCAGTCTTCGCTCCCCCTTGGGTCCTTTCTATCCCTCAGCCATCCTTTTTTTTACCTTCGTGTGGTGCTGCAAGCCAGCCCAAGAGGACTGCACCCGGGAGCCGTCTAGGCCGCTCAATTACTCAGCGGGCTCACCTCGGCCCCTCCCGCCCATCTAGCTCGAGAACTTTTTTTTTTCCTGCAAGGGAGGGATGGAGTGATGGGGAACCCAAGGAACGGTCAGTCTGATTTTTTTTGGAGACAGAGGGGGAGAAAAGAGGACAGGCCTCGCGGAGGAGTGAGGGGCCTACGGGGCTGCAAGCGCGTCCGGCATGCTGCTGGGGCTGGCGAGCCGGCGGGTCCACCAGGGGCTAGGGGCCGCGCTGCTGAGGGAGGATCCGAGGACCGGAGCCCGGGACAAGGGGAGTGGGGTTTTTTTTTCAGAGGGAAGGGGGGATACCCGCAGTAAGGGCACCTGGCCCGAGGGGCCAGGATCGGAAGGGACTTGGGAGACGGACCTCAGGGGCCCGGAGGTGAGAGGAGTAGGGAGGCCGTTTTTTTTGGCGCCCGGGCCGCCGCGCTGGGTAAGGATATTGCCGCAGAAGGCCATCCACCTTTTTTTTGTCCGGGCCTGGCTCGCCCGCCGCCGCCGCCGCCTCCTCCTGCTCGTCCACGATTTTTTTTTCGTCAAACTCATCGATGTCCACCCGACGGAAGCGCGAGGACAGCGTGTTCCGTTTTTTTTCGGGGACTCGGCGCCCGCTGAGCCGGCTCCGCTCCGAGTCCGACCTCGGCTCTTTTTTTTTCGGCACCGGCTCAGGCTCGGGGGCGGGAAGCGGCCGCCCGGCACCTCCTCCACTTTTTTTTCGCGCAGACGCCGCCGCCCGCCCACTTCCGGGCCACGCCGGAACCGGAAGTGCTTTTTTTTGGGCGGGGCCTGGGGGGGAGTGGCTGGAAGCGCTGGAGAACCTGCCTGGTAGTGTGACCCCGACAGCCCCCAGCCGGACTCTCATCCTCGGGGAACCTCACTCTTGCCGTCCGAGGAGCGGACACTCCGTCCCCGCGGAGGCCCAGCATCGTGGACATCATAACTGCGCTCAGCTTCCCTCCTGAATCCGAGGAGCCCCTGGCCTTGGAAGGGGCCTGCGCGGACACAGCCGCGGATTTTTTTTACTGCCCAGACTGAGGGTGCCCGGGCCCCCAGGAGAAGGCTGCCGGCTCTGCCTTTTTTTTGCTGGGCAGACTTCTTTGAGAAAAAGACCTTCGAGCTGTCTGAGTAGTTCTTCTTTTTTTTGGAGTGACGGGAGCGGGTGGAGACCCTAATTCTCGTAACTTAGGAACCTTGAACGCCACCACAGAGCTCGGAGGAAGGTGCCCCTGCCTTGTGCACAGTGACTCTATTGTTAACGGACTGGGAGACTTTAAAGACGTTTAAAGTGTATCCAAAATGCTGACAAGACAAAACATTTTTTTTTTTCCCCGCGAGTGTAGTGGTCACCTGGGCCTGGCAGGTAGGGGACGGGGAGAGGATTTTTTTTCTGTGGTCACCATTCTGACGGGAAGGGCGAGGTCCTAGGGGCTGAGAAGTCAGTTTTTTTTGGAGAGGCATATCCTGGTGGGAAGCCGAATCCCCAGAGTATGAGATGGGGAAATTTTTTTTTGGGGGGACTAAGGGCAGAGTCAAGGACAACTCTGGTGCCAGAATTGAGTGCCTTTTTTTTTGCTTGAGGGATTCTGTTAATAGGCCTTAACCTTAGGTTAAATTGGGTCTTTGTTTTCATATAAGTGTACTTTTTTTTTTTTTTTAACATTTTGTTTTTAAGTAATCTCTACCCCCAACCTGGGGCTGGAACTTACAACCCCAAGATCAAGAGTCACATGGTCTACTGACAGAGCCAGCCAGGTGCCCCCAGTTGTACTTTGGCCTTTAATAAAGGCCAATAGTTAATGAAATATGTTTTTTTTTTTATCATCTCAAATACTTCTCATTGAATTGTGTCTACAGATAAAAAAATTATTTTTTTTTTATGATGCTATCTAATCTTGGGTACTAAAGATACAGACTCTTACGCTGGGAAATTTTTTTTGAATAAAAGTCTCAGGGGTCCTCGAAACAGGCAAAGCCCACCTGCCTTTCAGCTCCATTTCTTGAAAGAAATCTTTGTGACCCAGGCAGGCCACAAGACAACAGAAATTCATATCCCCAGAACTTACTGGTCAGAAGGAACTTTAAACCAGAAATGCCCATTTTACAAGTAAAGAAATAGCCTGTTCTGGTGAATGAAATAATGGCCCTGCTTATGACTGTGGATCTCCCAGTCATTTTTTTTTAATTTTAAAAGTCTATGTCAGGGATGACTGCATGCTGAGGGTATAAAACCACACAGTGCCTGGCAGTACCTTAAAGTGGTCAAGAGAGATGTCCTTGAGGAGGTGACACTGATCACGGACCTGAAAGAAGTGAAGGAGGGAGCCAAGCAAAGGCCCAGAGACAGGGCTGACTTGGTATATTCCAGAAACAGAAAGGTCATGCTGGACTGCAAGGGTGAGAAGAGATGAGATGGAAGTTTTTTTTTAGAGGGGCTGCTGTAAAGTTTTGTAGGCCGAGGAAAGGATGTGGTCTACCTCTTTTTTTTACACTGGAAATTCTGGGCAGTGACGTGAGCTGACTTAAGTTTGAAAAGGGTCCCTTTAACAGCTGTCTTGAGAATACATGGGAATAAGAGCCAGTAGTAGAGGTGATTTAAAAGGTGACACCAGGGACACCTGGGTGGCTCAGTCGGTTAAGCAGCTGCCTTCGGCTTGGGTCATGATCCCAGGGTCCTGGGATCGAGTCCCACATCAGGCTTCTTGCTCAGCGGGGAGCCTGCTTCTCCCTCTGCCTGCCTCTCTCCCAGCTTGTGCTCTCTCTCTCTCTGACAAATAAATAAATATTTTTTTTCTTAAAAAAATTAAAAAATAAAAGGTGACACCAACAGTTTAGGTGACAGACAGTTTTTTTTTAGGCCAGGCAGTTGCCATTAAGAGTGGTGGGAAGATGTTGGGTTATGTTGAAAGTAGAGGCTGCAGAATTTACTGGTGTGTTGGATGTGGCATTGTAAGAGAAACAGGAGCAATTTTTTTTTTCCAAGTTCAGAAAGATGTGCACAATCTAACGATTGTGCTCTAAAAGAACTATTTTTTTTTGGAAAATATGACAGCAAAGTCCCTGTGCACCATTCAACTTACTTTTAAGACTAATCCATGCCAAGATTGTCCTCTGTCTGCTCTCTTCCCCATACCCATCCACTTCTTGGAAGCCTGCCTCACCGTGGTCTGTGGCAAGGCCCATTAATTCATTCATCCAACAAGCATCCATGTGTTGGGCCTGGAGACTAGGTAAACCAAATCAGGTGTCAGCCATGGTTGACTTCCAGGCTGGTTTTTTTTACAGACACATAAACGTTTAACGTTTAACATTTAACTCAGTATATTTGGGGCTATTTTTTTTATTGCACTTGGGACATGGGGCACTTGGCTGGCTCAGTCAAAAGAGCACTACACTTTTTTTTTTTTTTTAAAGATTTTATTTATTTAGTAGGGAGAGAGGAAGCACAAGCAGGGGTTTTTTTTGGCAGAGGGAGAAGAAGGCTCCTCGCCGAGCAGGGAGCCCGATGTGGGACTCGTTTTTTTTACCCTGAGATCATGACCTGAGCCAAAGGCAGATGCTTAACCAACTGAGCCATCTTTTTTTTCCTTGAAGAGCACTACTCTTGATCTCAGGGTCGTGAGTTCGAGTCCTATGATGTTTTTTTTGATTACTAAAAATAAATAAATAAATAAACGACAACAAAACAATAACAGAAAGCTTTTTTTTAAAGGGAGGTAGTATACCAATTTAGTCCAAAGCTAAAGCCCATTCATAGAACCTTTTTTTTGAATGGAAGAAGGCTTCCTCAAGCTTGACAGCAACAAGGGGGCAACCTGGCTTTTTTTTTTGCTCTAAGAGGTGTTAGTGCATCTTTGTTAACGGCAATGGAGTGACACTAGAGTTTTTTTTGCTTGCTGGTTGAGGCAACAATGAAACTGCCCAGTCAGAAAGCCTGAGCAGCTTTTTTTTTTTGTGAATTCTTTAACTTTCAGGACCCAACTCACGTGTTCATTTCACTGGGTATTTTTTTTCCAATGATATTTTGAGGGACTGTTATACATTAGATCTTGTGCTAAGAGTTTTCTTTTTTTTTAATCCTCAAAAATACCTATTTCGCAGGTGAGAAAACTTGAGACTCAGAGAGGGGAGGGGATCTGCCAAGAGTCTCAGCGAGCACGAGGCAACGGAGCAGGAATTTGAAATCGGTTTTTTTTCACTAAAAAAAAGGCCCTGAATGCTTTCTCCCGCCACATGCTGCCTCCACTAGTTTTTTTTATGGAGTTGGGAGTATAGCTGTCGGATCCTGCCTCTCCCCGCCAGTTCGGATTTTAAAGTCTTCCAAGGTAGAAGCCGTGTTAATTTATCTCTGAAAATCCTCAGCCCTCATCCTTTTTTTTCCCAGGACACTGGCGCGCAGCTCAGAGCAGCGGACTGGGCATCCTGCAAGGTCTTTTTTTTGAATGAATGAACGAGTAAATGACAGGATGGACGAATTCGAGTTCTCACTGTGCTTTTTTTTGTAAGCTGCCGGTCACCCGGGCCTCGGTTTCACCAAGTAGTCTGCTCAGGAGATGAGGCGGACCGGAGCAATCGCGGGTGCGCGGCTCTTCCGGGCGGGGCTAGACAGGCCGAATTTTTTTTCTCCCCAGGCGAGGGGGGTGGAGGTGTCGGGGGCGGGGCTAGGGCTCCCTCGCGGCAGGGTCATTGGCTGCGCCCGCCGCCACCCGGCAGTAGTTGCGGAGGTCAGGCCCGCCCTTTTTTTTTTCCTTGGCTTCTTTCGGGCGGCGGGCAGCGGCAGATTGTGCAGACATGGTGATTTTTTTTGAATCGGGTGCCATCTGCGCGCTGTGGGGCTCGGGGCCAGGGGTGGGGAGCTCTTTTTTTTCGCTGGGGTCCCTTCTGCCAGCCGGGCCTGTAAGGCGTCGTGCGGAGTGGCCTTGCGCCACCACCGCCGGTCTCCCGCTCTCCCCCCCTGTTGGCTGGGGCCCGGAGAGGTGAGTTTTTTTTGTCGGCGCCTTTGTCTTCCCGTCTGCGGAATGGCGGTAGCGGCTCAGCCTCGTTTTTTTTTCGGACGAAGGCGGGCCCGCCAGGGCCTCGGTTACCCTGCCCCAGGCACGGCCTAGGCGAGGGAAGCTGGGCCCCCAGCGCGCCCTCCTGGGGCTGGCCACGCCGCGGGTGGAGGGGAGGATGGCCGCTGGGCGGGGGGAGGGGGCCCTGCCGGCTGTTTGACCCCGGCCTGTACTTGCGCTCAGGCCAAGATTAAGGCTCGAGACCTTCGCGGCAAGAAGAAAGAGGAGTTGCTTATTTTTTTTGAAGACCTGAAGGTGGAGCTGTCCCAGCTGCGCGTCGCCAAAGTGACAGGCGGCGCGGCTTCCAAGCTCTCCAAGATGTGAGTGAGGGGCGGCCGAATTCCGGTTCTCTCGTGTTTTTTTTTCCTGTGCATCGGAAGCATTTGTGGGTTTTCGAAGTTGGCTGAAAGAAGCGTTGTTTTTTTTGATCATGTAACGGACCCGTGGGTTGGAGTGTCATGCGCGTCCTGACCCAGCTTCTCTAGGCTCCCCGTACTTGCACCCAGCCGCATGGGACACCCCCTGTGTGATTTTTCTCTTTTTTTTTTTGGATCATTTTGTCCTTTTGCCTGGAGTGCCCTTGCTCAGCTTATCTCTGACCAGAGAAAGAACGGGTTGTCCCTCAAGACCCTTTTTCACCTTGCCTTGAAAAGTATAACTGGACCCTTTTTTACTACCTCCCACCAGCACTTGATTTTTTTTCCCTCACTTGGTAGGTGGGTGTTTTTTTTCCACCCCTCACTTGAGTTGTAGTCAACTTACTGATTTACATGCATCAAGCATCTTTTTTTTTGAAAGGGACATGGGTTTGGAGTCCATTGAACCGGGCACACATTCCTCTTTTGTTTTTTTTTACCTAATGGGTGTGCTGACTCACCACCCAGGAGGTTTTGTTTAGTTTTGCTCTTCTCTGAAATGGGGGAGCGCCTGGGTGGCTCAGTCGTTAAGCGTCCACCTTCGGCTCAGGTTTTTTTTCCAGGGTCCTGGGATTGAGCCCCGCATCGGGCTCCCTGCTCTGCAGGAAGCCTTTTTTTTTCTCTCCCGCTCCCCCTGCTTGTGTTCCCTCTCTTCGCTGTGTCTCTCTCTGTCTTTTTTTTAAAATCTTTAAAAAATAAAATAAAATGGGCCCCCAACAACCGACCTCTGGTGCGGGGAGGGGGTTGGATGAGTTGGGGAACACACAAGTGGCATGCTGAATCCTCAAGACCGTGTTTACCAGCTATTTCCCCCACCTTGCCTGCTATTCAACATGACTCAAATCACTTATTCCCATTTTTTTTCTAGGTTTATCCTTTTTACTTCTCAAACGTCTTGTGTCTCCCTCCCAAGCGGCCCCTCCTGTGACTCCTTAATTTGGTCGCCCAGCTTGTGGCATGATTTCCCACAGCTCATTCTTTTTTTTATCGGTTAGGTCTTCACAGCTCTGAGGCTATATGGCCTGGGATGGAAGATCTTTCCTAATCTACCCTCCACTTCTGCTCAGCTTCTCAGAAGCCCTTCCCTGTCCCTACTTGTGAGATGCCCACCTCCTAGAGTCTTTGGGCCTTACCCCCAAAACACTTGCCTCCTGGACTGGGTTTTTTTTCTCTTGGGTGAATATGGATGAGCTGGTGGGGAATACTCCTGCCTTATGACATCTGGGTCAGGTCCTGAGTAAGATGCCTTTGAGGGGGTGGCAGCATTGTAGGGCTCCACCACCTTTTTTTTTGGTTCTCTCTTTTGCAGCCGAGTTGTTCGCAAATCCATCGCCCGTGTTCTCATTTTTTTTAACCAGACGCAGAAAGAGAACCTCAGGAAATTCTACAAGGTGAGCCTGGGCTGTTTTTTTTAGGATGCTTGGCTGCAGGGAGCAAAGTTCCAGCCCTCCCTTGGCCAGAAAAAGAGCTTCTGCTGGGGTGCATGGGACTGGGCTTTTACAGAGCCTTCCCAACTTGTAGGTGGGTTTTTTTTTTAACCAGCATCTTAACACTAGTATGGCACACAGACTGTTTCCTCAGGGCTGCAGTTGTCTTTAAGAATGAAAGCAAAGATGATGGGGTATGTAGAAAACTTATTGCAAGGCTCCTTTTTTTTATATTTAATTTCTTAATCATAACTGATACCTTAATAGTTGAAAGTATTAATCTCTGAGGTTTTATTGTAGGAATCAATATAAACTTTTTTTATGAAAACAATGATTTTTTTAAGTTTTTTTTTAAATGCTGTACATCTTTCACATTTTAAACTCTTCAGAGGTTTTGCATCTTTAATAGCCTTGTATGAAACGTGTGTGTTTGGAGTCATCTTTCCTAAATTCTTCATTTCCATTATTTTTTTTTATTATGGCTAGCTTTTTAGCTTACAGATAAAACCATTCAGATTGATACATTTTGGAAATCAACAGTGTGTTGAGAGTCTGGCTGGAGCCTTGGGTTTTGAATTCATCCTCACCAGCTGAGTAAATTTGGGCCGTCTGTGAGAATTAACTTTAAGTGTTTTAGTTGTTTTAACCATTTTTTTTTCAGTCAGTTTCAAGCATCTGATACTCTCATTTTTCAGTTGGGAACCTCAGGGTTTTTTTTGGTTAAATTGCCCAGAGTCACCTACAGTGAATGGAGTGATTGGGCCTATGTTCCAAACCATGTCTTAGGGAGGGGTGGATTGAGTGCTCCTGGGAGAATTCCACAGGTGTCTGGCCCCTTGGCCTAGGATTTTTACGACCATTTTTGGTCTTATCCTTAATACTGGTGTTATCAGTTTTTTTTTAGTGAAGCAGAACCAGTAAGAGATCTCTCTTAAAGTCAGTTGATGAGGGGCTTTGAGTATATTGCAAAACCGGCTTTACATCAACATCCCAGTTAGCGTTTGAATAGCTGGAGTTTTTTTTCTGTCAAAAAAGCCCTCATGGTGGGCCTGGGCTGGCTGTCCCAGGGGACAGTATTTTTTTTTGTTGGGTTGGGGGGGTGACGCCATCCCTGGATGTGTGTACATTTGTGTGTGGTTTTTTTTTTCTGAGAATTGGGCTTGAAACTCTTTGATCAGGCTCTGGGGGGACCATAGAGGTGGTCGTCGGGAAGAATTGTCTTCTTCCAGTGAGTGCAGCCCCTGCCAGGCACCAATGAGTCAGGGTGGGAAAGGTGAGGCCTCTGCCCTGTGGTAGTTCTGTCCGATAGACTTTCTCTAGTTTTTTTTGTGCTCTGTCTGCGCCATCCGGTACAGTGACCTCGGGCCACATGGTGGCTATGGTGGTTGAAGGCCTGGGTTTTTAATGATGACCGCGTGTGTGGCTAGTGCCTCCTCTGGCAGACAGCCGAGCTCTGAGGGCTTAGTCAGGCTGAAATGGACGAGGCCCTGGCCTGTGCTGCAGGTAACCGGGATGTGGGTGGGTGAAGACTCGTGCTTCCGAGCCCCCACCTTAGCACTTACTCCCATCTGCACAGCTGGTTTTGGCAGCTCTCTGCCCTGACACTGTTACCCCACTTAGCTCACTTTTTTTTTGTGCCTCCCCCTCTGAGCTGTTGGCAGTTTCCAGAAAGCACCTGAGCTGCCATTTTTTTTGGCTTTTGTGTTACGCTGTTTTCTCCCCCCTTGGAAGTGGTGTTCACCAAGTTTTTTTTTTTCCAGGCTATTGCCAGTCATTAGGTGAAGCCTTCTTAATCTCTTTCCTCCCACTTTTTTTTGGCCACTTGTTAGCTTGTTCAGTCTTTCGCACTGGGCTGGGGGCTCCTTTAGCTTTTTTTTAGTCTGATTCATCACTAGGGCAGCTCCCCCCACAGGGCCTCAGTCCCCTGCTGTTTTTTTTGTACTATGCCTCCTCACACTCAGGTCTACAGAGTAACCTGCACACCCCCGTGGTTTTTTTTAGTGGCTTCCGGCATCCTCCCCATGCCCCCTAGCAGCTCGGTTCCAGCCTCTGTTTTTTTTTTTCCTGCCACAGTAGCTCCTAAACCCTGGTGCTCAGACACCCCCTGCTCTCCTTTTTTTTAGGGTAAGAAGTACAAGCCCCTGGATCTGCGACCCAAGAAGACACGTGCCATGCGCCGCCGGCTGAACAAGCACGAGGAGAACCTGAAGACCAAGAAGCAGCAGCGGAAGGAGCTTTTTTTTCCGCTGCGGAAGTACGCGGTCAAAGCCTGAGCACTGGCGTCAATAAAACACAGTTTTTTTTGCTGGTGTTGCTTTGTGTTTGTGGGCGTTTCGACTGACCGAGCTGGAGAGGTGGGCTGCTGTGCCCTGGTGTGGGGCCGTGACAGTCCTGGCCACGGGGATCTGGTGGGTTCTCTGTTGTGGTTGGTTTGGGGGCTGTGATGTGGAAGTGCCCTCACTGTCCTTTCATGAGTTCATTTTTTTTGGTTGCATGGGCCCTGGGCAGGGAGAGACGGGCTTGAGATCTGAGAACCATTGTTTTTTTTTTATATCCGAGAGGCTCTGGGTGATCTGATCGAGCAGCGGACTTTGGCATTTTGCCTGGTCAGTAGCTCCAGACACTAAGAGTTTCCCATCTGGGATGAAGGCGCAGGCATGGGCCACATCCAGGACTCCCTGCTGAAAGCATTTCACTTTCGGGGTGCATGTCCTGCCTGTCCCTTTTTTTTCCTGGCTGGCAGGCCTTTTACTACACCCTTGGGTGCTATGCCCACAGGCCTTATTTTTTTTGTCTCAATGCATTTTCCTGTGTTGCAGTCCCAGACTTTGACCTGGAAATAAAAACAAGCAGAAGGGTGGGGAGACCTCACCCCACAAGTCTGGCATCCTTAAAATCACTTTGGGTTTTTTTTTAGCCAACCTCTTAACCCCTTGGCCTGGGTTTTGCTGTCTGTGAGGTATATTTTTTTTTTTCAGCAGAATATCTGATGCAAAAACTCAGTGTAGTGCAATTTCCTTTTCCCTAATTTTTTTTTGACTCTTAAAAATGTCAATGCCAGGGGTACCTGGGTGGTGCAGTCGGTTAAGTTTTTTTTATTCTTGGTTTGGGCTCAGGGTCATGAGTTCGAGCCCTGCGTTGGACTGAGCATTTTTTTTGCTTGAGATTTTCTTTCTGCCTTTCCTCCCTCCCTGCTCCCATGCACTCGGAATTTTTTTTGGCACCTGAGTGGCTCGGTGTGTTAAAACGTCAGCCCTTGGCTCAGGTCATGGTCCTGGGATCCTGGGATTGAGCCACACGTTGGGCTTCCTGCTCAGTGAGAAGTCTGCTTCTTTTTTTTTACCCTCCTGTTAGCTCGTGTTCTCGTGTGCATGCTTTCAAAATCTTTACAAAATTTTTTTTAACAAAGTGTCAATGCCACTTGGGCCAGCACAGAGCTTAGTGCCAGGCACTAGTTTTTTTTGTGGTTGGCACCTGGGTTCTGCCCATGGCACCCTCCTATTTAGAGCAAATAGGTTTTTTTTATTTCTAGACTGCAGAGGGCTCTGCTAAAGGAAGGTGTGGGGATGGGAGTTTGTTTTTTTTAGAGGCCTGGTGGGGTGGGTTTACCATGTGGGAGTAGCCGGCACTGGCCGGCTGTGACCCATCGGGAGAAAACGATGCTCTTCACCCAGGTAACATGGCCCTTGAGCTGAACAATTTTTTTTCTGGTAGAGGGCGGCTTCCAAATGTGGATAGTCTTACCCAGGTGCCAGAAGCCTTTTTTTTAGACAGCTCTAAGCCCATGGGTCTGGAGCCAGCAGGGGGCCAGCCTAGAACCCAGGGCAACCCATATCACCAGGAGGCCAGATGCCGAGTAGCACAGGTAGCTGATGTTGCCACTTTTTTTTTCCAGCTCTTGGTGGAAGGTCGCTGGGGTCCCCACCCACAGGTCCCAGATGGATTTTTTTTAGTCCCAGGAGCCAGTGGCCTGCAGACATCTGCCGTGAGCATGAACCAGCCAGTTTTTTTTCACGGTTGTGGTTCCTGGCTGGCCAGACTCCGAGAAAGCAGGCATTCTGGACCTTTTTTTTTTTCCCAGCTTATAGATGAGGGGACAGGCTCAGAAGAGCAGAGTGACCCAGTCTTTTTTTTGAATTTTAACCACAGCTCAGCCCCAAGTGGGAAAGTGAATGTGGGCTCCAGGTTCCTTGAGGTAGGGCCGGGCACAGGTGGTGTGGCTCACCAGGGAGTTTGAGCTGGGTGCGAAGTCACTGCTCTGGATGGAGTCTTGGTGCCCTCCCAAGTGGCGCAGCATCTGCCCGGACTACAGGAGAGAGCCCTGAGCTTTGGATTTGGAGGCCACCAGGTTCTAGGCCTCAGATGGGTCAGATCAGGCCCTCCTTGCGGGCTGCCTGGGTAATGTGACACAGGGTCTGGGGAGACCCCAGATTTTTTTTCGGGAGAGGACAGTCCAGGCCGGGGGGACCTCATTGGCAGATGGATTGCCAGCTTTTTTTTTGGGCTGTGGGGAAGATGGAATGACCTTTCTGGGGCCGCTGTCGGGGGTGGGGTTTTTTTTCTCTGGGTCCCAGGTCCCACTCTGGCCACCCTTCCACACACCTGCACCTCCCCTTTTTTTTCCTGCCTGTCCCAGCCACCTGATGCCAGCTGCTTTCCGTCAGGGCTGAAGCTGACCGTCTCCACACTCCGCTGGTAACCTGCAGAGACCGGGTTGGAGGTGGGGCAAGGTGGAAGGGGACACAGCACGGTCTGGCTGCTTGGCTCCCGTCCCATCCCACTTACCCTTGAGGACACTTTTTTTTTTAGCTTCTGCTACATCCCACAGCTAGATGGTACAGTCATGGGAGGTGGTGGCTTTTTTTTGGCCATCAGGGGAGAAGCGGCAGAACTGCCCGGGGCCTGGGGAAGCAGCTGTAGTCAGGGAACAGGGTGCTGCCCTCCCCTTCTGGCCCTTGCTGACCAGCCCCTGCTAATTTCTTTTTTTTTAGCACCTCCCTTCCCTCTCCTCACTCCCTTCCAACCGTCCAGCCACCTGGCAAGCCGAGCTTCCGTGGCTTGGCCTAGAACACCCAACCCTGATTTGCCCATTTATAAAATCATTTTTTTTAGTGAATGCAGGCGCCTCCCAGAAACTTTTCTTTGAGAGCTCACCCTGGGTTCAGAGTCCCAGCGCTGGACTTCCCATATTAATAGCATTAGTCAATCTGCCCTGTGATTACCATTTTTTTTTCTCAATTATAGTAGTTACATCTACTGAGTCCTTACTGGGTGCTAGGCACTTGGCTTGCCTTATCTCGTCCCACAGGGTAGCAACTATCCCTTATTCTAAAGAGAAGGGAAATATTTTTTTTGGTGACATGACTTACGATCACAGTCAAAAAAGTGGCTAAACAGATAAACCTTATTTTTTTTTATGCTAAGTGAAATAAGTCACAAAAAGGAATACTGTATGATTCTACTTAGACAAGGTACTTAGAGTAAATTCATTGAGACAGAAAGAATGGTGGTTGCCAGGGGCTGGGGCAATTTTTTTTTGGGGAGTTTAATGGGTATAGAGTTTACATTTTGCAAGATGAAGAGTCCTGGATTTTTTTTGCATAATGAACATACTTAACACTATTGAACTGTGCATTTAAAAATGGTTACGATTTTTTTTATGTATATTTTAAAACAGTAGTAGGATTGGGGCACCCAGCTGCCTCAATCAGTTTTTTTTTCTACTCTTGATCTCAGGGTCATGAGCTCAAGCCCCAAGTTGGGTGTAGAGATTTTTTTTTTAATTAAAAACAACAACAAAAAACAAAGTAGTAGGATTTGAGTCCAGGTCTGTCTTTTTTTTAGGCCCCAGGGACCAGGTCCTGTGTCCTTGCCCTCCTGCTCCAGCCCTGCCCAGGCTGTCTTGTCCAGATGCCCAGCTCAGATGTCAGAGGTCACTGTGATAGGCTCTGCAGAATTTTTTTTAGAACCACGGGCCTCCGTGTCCACATCCAGCCTGAGGAGCCCCACCTGCGTGGCCAGTCAGCCTCCAGAGCAGCCACCCGCTCTGGGTCTCCCAGCCATAAACACAGCCATCCTTTTTTTTTGTCAGCAGCCTCTGGCCATCCGGAGAGAAGGCGGAGGAGTTGACCTGGAAGGATTTTTTTTAAGTAGTTCCATCCTGGGGCAAGAAACACCTGTCTGCTCAACCCTGACCCCAGACTCCAGGACTAGCCCTAAACACTGCCCAGGATCCCCGGGTGGGAGCTTGGACTTCAGGCCTTTTTTTTCAACCAGAGCCCAGAATGCAGGAACCACTCTTGCAGTCTGAGGCAAGAACTTGGAGCCCTCTCTGGAATCCTGTAAAACCTGAGCCTGAAGCTCAGAGGCCTCACTGAAGGTAGTTTTTTTTGCCTTCTCTAGAAGCAGAGCCTGGCACCCCACAACCAAGAGCCCATTCTAGAGTTTTTTTTTAGAACTAAGAGTTCAAGATCTACTCTAAGCCCCGGGCTCACTTTAAAGCCAATTTTTTTTGAACACTGTAGTCAACCAGGAGTTTGAGCCGTCTAGAACCAGAGCTTAGAATCTTTTTTTTATTCTGGAGCTGGGGGCCAGAGAATACCAGGCAGAATCAGGAACCACTCTAGACCCAAAGCCAGGAGCCTAGAGTCGGCAGAGCCCTGCTGGACTTCACCTCCCCGCGGTGCCGGCCGAAGAATTTCACTCTCCCCACGGCCAGCGGCCCTGGGGCCCTGCTGTTCATGGGCCCCCGGCCGCCCGGCCCGGTGGGCTGTCCCCTAGGCGGGCGCTGGGCCGGCCCGCGGGCCCTCATTTTTTTTAGGGTAGAGGGGATGGCGGAAGTTGTGTACAAGCGGTCTCCGTGGCAGTCGGGGCGGGGCGCGCAGCCGCCGTGGGGTCTCTGGGAGGCCAAGAGGACAGGTTGGGAGAGATGGTTCTCAGCTCCTGGGAGGTGGGGCCGCGGCGGGCAGAACCACCCGCGGCCCGAATTAGGGACTTCCTCGCCCAGCAGCCGCGAGCCGGACCACGGCGGCCGCTAGAGGGCACCCCAGCCCCACACACCGCGCCTGCCCCAACCCGCGCACGGAGGTCCGCGGTTTGCGGAGGGCTCCCAGACCTTTTTTTTAGGAGCCAGTTTCCCCATGTGCACAATGGGGTGGTTCATCCCTGCCCCCCGGGTTTTTTTTCTTGAGCCAAGAGCAAGGCCTGGCACATGGTAGGTGCCCAGGAGAGCCCACCCTGGGGCCAAGACCTCTTTCCTCCTGGAGTGCCCAGTCCTGAGGCTGAACAGCTCCAATGGAGGGGGCTGGAACTGAAACCCAGCTCTGCCCTGCAGAATGTGGGGGAACCAGAGGTAGTGTGTTTTTTTTACAGGGCATGAGAAAGTGGGGTCACTTGTTAACATCCTGGCAGCACAAAATGTGGCATCTGAGAATGTGGAGGATGTGGAGGTGGTGGGAGGAGGCCCCAGGAGCTGTCAGGTTCCTTGTTGGATAGTTGAAGCTGAATCCAGGCAAGAACAGGACTTGGTTTCAATGTTCATTTTTTTTTTTAGGGAACGGAAGCCCTACAAGGTGGGGGGACTTGCCCAAGGTCACTCAGGCAATAGGAAAGGAACTGGGACTTAGCCCATGTCTGTCTGACTTTGTGGGCCTGTATTAGGTTAGTTTTTTTTGCCATGAATTCCAGGGGCCTTCAAGCAGATGCCTAGATCCCTAACTCCTGGTATTTTTTTTAAACTGAGGGGGCAGATTTGGCCCAGTCATCCAGCACCTCTATGGCGGAGCTGGGGCCAGGACCCAGTCCCTTCCCCACAACGGGACAGGGGTGGAACAGAGACACCCTCCCTGTTTTTTTTCAGTGGATTCCAGGCTCCCTGGGGGTGGGGGTGGGGCAGCTGGGTTTTGGGAACTTCCAACTCAAGGGTTTCCAGCCGTGACTCACCCCCTCCCCCCGCCGCCCCGGCCCCAGATTTTTTTTCCAGACTCTTCTCACGAAATCCACTGTGCTCTTGCTCTATTTTAGGTCCCAGATTTTTTTTCGGGAGATGGGGCAACAATGGTGGCTTTGAGGCAGCCCCACCCCCATCCTAACTCCAGAAGGGCCCAGGTCACTGAGTTGGCTCCTCAAGGACCCGTCTGAGTTGGGCCTATAAGGCCACCACCTCATCCCCAGACATGGGTGCATACACAGCTCCCCATAACTGTCTGGCTCCCCAGGCCCTCGCCCCTCCCTCTGCACAAGCAAACCCTCCCCCCCTTCCCCGGGTCCATGCCCTTTTTTTTATTTCCCCAGCCAGTTGGTTGTTCCTGCTCTATCTACCTGGAGGGCCCAGAACCACCTAACCTAGCCCAGCCCATCACTCCCAGAGCCCTTTGAAAAGACCTTGTCCCACCAGGTTTTTTTTCTACTCAGCTGGTAGAGGTAGAGCTGGGGTTAAAATCTTTTTTGGGGAGCGCCTGGGTAGCTCAGTCAGTTAAGCATCTGACTCTTGATTTCAGCTCAGGTCATGATCTCAGGGTTTTTTTTGGCCCTATGTCTGGCTCCATGCTGAGCATGGGGCCTGTTTAAGATTCTCTCCCTTTTTTTTTGCCTGCCCCTCCCCCTCCCCCTGCTCGCACACTCTCTCTTAAAAAAAAAAAATTTTTTTTTAAAAAAGATTTTATTTATTTATTTGACAGAGAGAGAGAGAGCAGGAGAGCACTTTTTTTTAGGAGGGGCAGAGGGAGAGGGAAAAGCTGTGAGGATCGATCCCAGGACCCTGGGATCATGATCTGAGCTGAAGGCAGACACTTAACCAACTGAGCCACCCTTTTTTTAAGTAAGCTCTATGCCCAATGTGGGGCTTGAACTATTCACAACCCCAAGATCAAGAGTCACATGCTCTTTTTTTTTAGCCAGCCCCCAGGATTAAAACCTTTTTGCTTACGTAAAAAACTAATGATGTATTTTTTTTTGACTAACATAGCGCAATAAAATAAAATTAGAAAAAAAAATAAAACCTTTTTGTTTTTTTTCGGAGTTTGTGGCTGGAACTACCCACCGTGAATTCCAGGGGCCTCAGGAGCCAAAGCATGTCCACCTCTCCACATCCTATCCCTGTCTCCTGCCCTCCCACCCCCACCTTGCTCTTTTTTTTCAACTACAAGGGCCCTTTTTCCCATCCCTACAGCTTCACTCCCCACCTGGGCCTTTTTTTTCGGGGTTCCCCATTCTTGGCCTGATGCTTACCTTGGGATGTAGCTCAACTATCACTTCCCCAGGGTGCCTTCCCTTGCCCACCCCCCAGACTAAGTCAGAGCTCCTGCCCCAGATTTTTTTTATTAGAGCCACCAGTCTGGGTTAAACCCAAGTTCTGCCAACAACCAGCTCTGTTTTTTTTTCAAGTCACCTGATCACTCAGTGCCTTGTTTCCTCAGCTGTACAATGAGCAAGCTTTTTTTTTCTGTCTTGTAAGGAATCAGTGAGATGGAGCCGTCAAGGGCTCCTGGGGTGCATTTTTTTTTCAAAGAAGTGGGGGAGCCTGTGACAGCCACAAGCCTAAAATCCAGACACGAAGCTCTGAATGCCCTTCGTCAGGCTCACCCAAGTGGCCCACAGCCCGGGGCTACCTCACGATGTAGAGAGAACCCGGTGTGCGGGGGCAGTCTGACTCCATGCCCAGCGGGGCTGAGGGTTTGGGCACAGGCTGCACCTGTAGCAGGGTGTGGTCCGTGGTGGGGAAAGGGAGGGTGTGAGTGGGGGGGTCACGGTCACCATTCAGCAGAAGTATTTCACTGGCCCAGGTTCTGCCCATGGGATTTTTTTTTTCCGATTCTAGCCTCTCCAAAAGAGTCCCCTTGACTGTCTCTTCCTTCTCAGGGAGACTGCCACATTCTCTCCTTCCCAGCCCAGATTGTCTGGGATGGGGGTTTTTTGCTGGCCTTTCCTACTCTTGAAGGTGACCCATGGTCCTGGGACCAGCCTTGCCTCTCTTTTTCTCAAAATACCTGCCTTCCCAGGCCTCTTGGTTCCCTCTCAAACTGCCATGAGTACATGGCCACTTGTTTTTTTTAACTGGAAATTCAGAGAGGGAAATTACTTGCTCAAGTTCACACAGCTAGAAAGTAGTAAAGCTGGGGCACCTGGGTGGCTCAGCTGGCTAAGTGTCTGCCTTTGGCTCAGGTCATTTTTTTTGGGTCCTGGGATTGAGCCCCGCATCGGGCTCCCTCCTTAGCTGGGAGTCTGCTTTTTTTTTTCCCTCCCCTTGCTCATTCTCTCTCTCTCACTTGCTCTCTCTCAAATAAATAATTTTTTTTTTAAGAAAATAGTAAAGCTTAGATTCAAACCTATGTCCGATAACCCCCAAGGCCTCAACTCATTCCTTGCACCAGACACTCTTTTAATATAGCTTGGAGAAGTTGGGGTATGAGTTTTTTTTCACCCCGCAACACATACCCCACAGCCCTGTGAATGGGACCTCACTACCCCTCATTTTTTTTCATCCCATCATAGGAAACTCCCACTATTGGAAAGTCCTGGGTGAGTCAGAGTCTTTTTTTTTCTGTCTAACAGGGTAGGAAATAGGCCCAGCCCACATCCCTCCAATTCCACTCCAGGGACATAGCCAACTAGCTCCGAAAGGTGGCAAACAACCCAAATAGTCAAAAGCTGTAGTTTTTTTTGACTGTATAGTCAATGACAGCTACCCAGCCAGGGAAATGAACAAAACGTAGCTTTTTTTTTCAACATGCAAACGTCTTACAAACATGCTCAACAAAAGGCAACGTGGCCGAAGATTTTTTTTACACCATCCCATCATATAAAAATCAAGACATGCCAAAAGCAACCCTCCGTTACTTTTTTTTACATCCATATGCACTGAAACTTTAAGAAAAGCAGGGAATGACAAACTCCCAAATTTTTTTTGTGGTTAACTATGAGGAAAAGGGAGGGGACGCAATGTTGTCCCTTCTCGCTCCTTTTTTTTTTCTGGCTCATGGCTGGGCTGTGGGCATCCAGGCGTTTGTTGGATTATTCTTTAATAATCCACCTGCCTGTGTGGCCCCTGCCCACCCCTCCTGCCCGTTTCTGGCTTCCTCACTTTTTTTTCCGTTTCATGTCCCCACCACCCCCATGCCTGAGCAGTTTAGCACGTCACACCCTTTTTTTTATGGGATGCGCTTTCCCATAGTGCCCCAGGAAACAGAGAAGGCTGTTTTGTATTGAGAGCCAGCAGAGGAAAGGTGGAAAGTCAGACTGCCCTGGTTCCTGCCAGCTTCCCAGCTCCCAGCTCTAGTCCCCGAGGTTGCCATCCTAAACTGCACCCATTTCCTTAGTCTTGTTTTTGCTGAGTCAGCTCCAGTATGGTTTTTGTTGTATATTGTTTTGTTTTCTGTTGACTTCCCTTTTTTTTTGCTTTGGCTAAAACATCTCTGTGATTTTCACAGCTGGTTCCCTACTATTGTGTTTTTTTTTCTTCTTCTCTGGACTTCCCCTGCAGTTACTGGCACACAGGGATCCTGGCTCCCTTTTTTTTATCAACACCTGGGCCACCTTTATTGGAATGCACTGTAGTTGTCATTGTCCCTCCTACTAAAGTGTTGAGACCAGACCTGGAGACATGCTCTATATAAATGGACCGACAAGTGCCTTTTTTTTAGGTACTGTCATTTCCAGTTTTCTAGACACTCAATCTCTAGCAATGCAGCCTGTTTTTTTTGAAGCAGTTGTCTTTTCAACAGCTGCATTATTCTGGTGACTCAA